CAGTTGCTGAGCGGGGCCTCCGACAGCCGCCGACGAAGGCGCATGCGCGGGAAACCGAAGGCCGGCCTTATCGCGGTCCTTCCGGGTCCAGACGCTTATCTCCGGCCGCACCTCATCACCTGCGGAAGAAAAGACACTTCAGGACTCCGAACGGCAGATCGCTCATCCACGAACGACGTGACGTCACCATTTCATTCATACGGGACAGAAGGAGGACCCCTCTCCTCCCTCCCTCCCTCCCTCCTCCCCTCCCCCTCTCTCCCTCCCTCCCTCTCCTCCCTCATTCCCCGCCTCCCCTCCTCCCCCACTCCTCCCCTCCCCCTCTTCCTTCCTTCCCTCTCCCTCTCTCTTCCATATCCACCAAGAAGGTACGTCAAACAAAAGAGAACAAAAAATCGTACCCTGTCCACCTCCTCAACCTCAAGGAACTCGGCAAACAACTTATACTCCATACAAATAGAGTGAAAAAATCAGTCCATTTCCATCTATCTTCCATGAGATTTTCCTCGGCGATGGCAAATGCTGCAGGAAAGAAGACATGCTTACAGTTGCAAACATATCTCGCAAAGACAAGAAAAGAACAAAGGAAGCTGTGAACTCCCCGGTGCTCTAAGAAGTACGTAAAAACAGAGAAAGAAAGAGAGAGAGAGAGAGAGAGAGTGAGGAGAGAGAGCTAGAGAGAGAGAGAGGGAGAAGAGAGGAGAAAAAAAAAGTGAGAGTCAGACCAAGAAACAGAGAGAGAAAGAGAGAAAGAGAAAAGAAAGAGTCAGAGAAAGAGACGGACAAACAAACAAACAGAGAAAAAGAGAGAATATAAACCCCCACATATAACTCTCCTTTTCCACCAATAACTCTCCCGCAAGTGAAATATATTCCCGCGGACCCCGACACAGACCACAGCCACCTTGCTGCTGCACCGACGGAGATGATCTACCAGAGGCACGTAACTTAATTTGGCAAGCCCTTATGAATCACAATTTCCGTGCCTAATCCATGGATCATAATGATAAACAGGCGTAAGTGTCAATAGTTATAGTTTAATACCGAGGAATGTTGCGCGGCAGACGTGAATTAGGTTCAGGGGGCGGGCAGGGGGGGGGGGGGAGGAGGGGGAGGAGGACTGCGGCTGGGAAAGGTGGTAAAAGCAGTGGGTGAGAGAGCAATGTGTGCGTGGGGTGTGGGCGGGCTGGACGGGTGGCGGGGGGGGGGGGCTTGAAGGTCAGTGAGTGGGCGAAGGGGAAGAGGGAGAGGGAAGAGGGAGGGAAGGAGGGAGAGAGGAGAGAGGGAGAGAGGGAGAGAGAGAGAGAGAGAAGAGAAGAGAAGAGAAGAGAAGAGAAGAGAAGAGAAGAGAAGAGAAGAGAAGAGAAGAGAAGAGAAAGAAAAAGAGAAAAGAAAAAAGAGAAAGAGAGAAAGAAGAACGAAGAAGAGAAAAGAAAAGAGAAGAGGAGAGGGGCAGGGGGAAGGGGGTTAGCTTGTTATTGCGGCGAGGCACTGTTCTCGGGGTGTTTACCTCGGCCCGGGCGACACTGGATCCCAATGAGGGACTTCGTAAACAACATCAATCCCCGAAGATATTGACGCCCGGACGCGCGACACGGGGGCTGGAGCCGCGAATGGCGCTTTTAAATCTCTCCGGCGTACGTCTGGGTTCGCCAACAGCCGCCCCCGCCGCCGCCCGTTTATCCCGGCTGGGAAATGCGGCGGGCGCGTGAGGATCAACCGCAGTGCTAAAAAAAAAAAAGGTTTACTTTCCTCTCCTTTCCTTGTGACAAAAAAAAAGAAAAAAGAAGAAAGAAAAAGAGAAGAACAAAAAAGTCGACTTTCCTCCGCCTCCTCGTCCTTCTTCCTTCCTTCCTTCCCTCCGAATACACTTCCTTGTCCTTCCTCACCCCCCCCCCTCCAGGCGCGAAAACACACCAGGAAAAATACTCCAGTCTACTCTTCCGCCTCGACCTTCTTCCACCATTACCGCCCCCCTTGCCATCTGCCACCCCCCCCCCCCCACCCACCCACCCCTCGCCTTCACCCTCACTCCTCCTCTATGCTAATCTAGGCGAGTCCGAGCCGTTACAAACCCAACTTCAGGAGGGGGACGCCCTGTCTCGCGGGCGCAGATCCCCTCGTCCTCGATCCCCCACAATTTCCTGAGGGTAATGGCGCCGTCTACAGTCAGGTCACACGGCCACTCACGGGACCCTCCTGCAGTGCCGCGTCTCGACACGTAGCGGCGGCGCTCGTTTCCTCTTCTCGGCGCGGACTTCGGCTTCGTGTTTCTTTACGTTGTCGCCTTCTCCCTACGCCAGTGTGTGTACAACGGCTGTGCTTCTTTCGTCTTAATTCACTTGTGTAACACCTTTTTATCTTGTTTTTATCTCTGTAATGGCTTTAATGTTTTTGTTTTGTCTGTTTTTGTGTACTTTTTCTTCCATTTGTTTTTCTTTTCTACTTCGATGATATGTGCTGCTTGGTTTGAGATGTTTTGCATTCTATTTTTTTTTCTTTTTTTTTTGAATTTGAATCCAATTTCAGATTTTAATCTTATGTCTTTATTCTTTTTCATGTTGGGTCCACAAGCACAAATTATATAGTGTAAATAAACAAATATATTCACACCCTACATACACACATACACACTTATATACAAACATACGTATAAATACATACATATATATGCATATAAATACATGCATACATACATACATACAACATATATATATATATATATATTATATATATATATATATATATATATATAATATATATATATATATATATATATATTTATATACACACATATATTCCCACCTCCACTCTTCCTCACCCTCATCCCTACACACCCTCACCCACTCCCTTCCTCACCCTCCCACTCCCACTCCACCACCCCCCACCCCTCTCCACCCTCACCAGCCAAACCATCCCTCAAGACTCCACGAAGACAAAATCCTCAACCCGGCCCCACGCAGCCCCACGCACAGCCAAGAGCCAGACCCAGCCTTCGCCGAGACCAGCCCAGCCCCGCTTTCGCCAGGACTCCTCAAACAGGCATTTACGGGGATGACTTACGTGTGGCATTTATAAGCGCCTCACGCGGTTTCCGGGAGTAACTTCATTCCCGGCATTTACAGAGAGAGAGAGGGAGAGAGGGAGAGGGAGGGAGGGAGGGAGGGAGGGAGAGAGAGAAAGGGAGAGGGAGGGAGGGAGCGACAGAATGATGAGAAAAGGTGGAAGGAGACTGTGTTATGTATGTGTGTGGGGGGGGGAGAGGGAGGGGAGGGGGGAGTGATGGAGGGAGGGGAGAGGGAGGGAGGGGGGGGGGAGGGAGAGGGAGAGAGGGAGAGGGTGGGAGAGAGAGGAGAGGGAGGTGAGGGTGAGGGTGAGGGTGAGGGTGAGGAGGGAGAGGGAGAGGGAGAGGGAGAGAAGAGAGAGAGAGAGAGAGAGAGAGAGAGAGAGAGAGAGAGAGAGAGAGAGAGAGAGAGAGAGAGAGATAGAGAGAAGAGAGAGAGAGAGAGAACTAAGGAAAATACACATTACATGACTCTGTATTCACACCGGAACCTCGTCTCGCCCGCAGCCGGGGTCAACCCCCTCCCCCCGCCCTCCTCTAAGCTTTGCGGGGAGGGGAAGGGGGAGAGGGGGGACAGGAGACACGGCAGAAGTTGTGTTGCATCCCTTAAACTATGCTATCTGGCTATAAGTATTTTAATGTATTTTCTGTAGACAGTTGGCTCAACTGTTATAAAAAAAAACAGTGGATTCTCAAATATGCATGTATAGTACATCGTATGCTGTAATCTGATGCAATATTAAAATCCCTAAATGGAGTGTACATGTGTATATGTATGTTGTGTGTGTGTGTGTGTGTGTGTGTGTGTGTGTGTGTGTGTGTGTGTGTGTGTGTGTGTGTGTGTGTGTGTGTGTGTGTGTGGTGTGTGTGTGTGTGTGTGTGTGTGTGTGTACGCGCGCGTTCGTGTGTTTATATATGCGCATATACAAGCTCACCCTTGACTTGCATCATCTCACTTACCCAACATTCTATTCACCGACTTGTCTTTCATCTTACGTTCCCACTTCGCAGCTACCTACACACGTACCTGCTTTCTACGTACCTATAAACCCATGCATGCTTAATTATTACAAATATATAGTTATCAGTCTACCTGTCTACCTATCATAAGACTCGCAAACGTGAGAAAAAAAATTTTCCTTTAATAAGACGAAGTAAAGAACGAGGCATAAAAAAGCTAAATAGGCCTACATGCACGACCAAAATACTGAAAATATGAGAAATCAGTTTTCAAGTCCATAATCGCAGACGCTTTCAATCAAGCAATTTTGTTACTCATTCATGTAATTTTGTCTCACTAAATCAAGCAATTTTGTCTCTTTTCAAACCAAGCAATTTTGTGTCTCTCAGTCAAACAATTTTATGTTTTTCAACCGAGCAGCTTTGCCTTTCAATCAAGCAATTTCATTTCTCAATCAAGCAACTTTGTGTCCTTCAATCATAAAAATTCTGCGTCTCTCAATCAACCAATCTTGAGTCCTTCAGTCAAGCAGTAGAGCATCTAAACCTGCATCACGAGGACAACGAAGAGGACACGAGCCAGACGACATCCGAACGGCACTAAAGATTCAGTTCACTTCGCTTCGGATCAGTTCCGGATCCAGAAGCCCCGCCCACAAGACCCCTCGACGATGGGCAAGGGAACATATCAACCAATCAGCATTAAGCTCTCAACAGATCTGGCGGGAGTTGCCCCATTTTGCATCCGGCTCACTGATTGGTCCATTAGTGTGATGGCTCGTCCTCCTTGTTCCAACGCCATTGTTCAAGCCTCAATGGGATGAACATTTTGCTCTCCCCTCCCCCCTTGCTTCTCATCGTTGTTTTTGTCGAGGGCTTCAATAAACTGAATTGAAGACCCCTAAGACTAAAATATTAAAAGCTTTATTGGCAAGTCACTTTCTCATATTGAAGCTTCCTTGTTCTCCGGCCAGGGCGCTTCTTGCCCTAATTAATGCTTTTATAATTGATTGCATGCGAGTCTACCGGCGAGGAGAGGAGGAGAGCAGGAGAGGAGAAAGCGAGGGAGAGAGAGAGAAAGGCAGAGTGGGAAAA